GTAAAGTTCCCCATACTTGTGTGGGCAAGCACTTGCTTAGTGAAGAGATAGACAAACCTTGCTTGGTGACTTGCTAGTGTTGCTTCTCTTGACATCAAAGGCTTTTCTACCTTTTCTGTCCAAAGACTGACCTGGCATGATCTGATCTACCTTGTCCAATCTAGTGTGTTCATGCACAGGGTCGTAAAGCTGCAAGAAGGAAATACTGTATAGGTGTACTTTCCAAATGGTGAAATACTCTTACAGAGTTCTGAAGCTGTAATAGAAAGAAGGTAGTAACTGGTGGAAAATAAGAATCTTAAAATCCTTCAGATTTACTCAGGTCTGATTGGATTTATTTTTTATTGCATTTAGTTAATTGCTTAACATTATTATACTCTATGTTATTATAACTTCCATAGCGGACTGTATAGAGATATAATGTTAGTACTGCTTGTGGTCCATTCCAGTAATATTTTAATCAGAGGTTCTTGAAACAGCAATTATTATCTTTAAGAGGAAATCGTGGCAGAAATCTTGATTGGATTAACATGTGAAAACTGTAATGGAAACTGTAATGGAGAATGTTAACCCTGTAGGATGCTTGTAGAATTTTCCTCTGCTATTTTATTACATCTGAACAGATAAATACATTATACTTGCTGTGGATAGAGAAGGAGCTCATGACTGTATAACACACCTGATAGTCTAGTTATGGTGAGGGAAAACTGTTTCTGGAGTGAAATTACTTAGAGGTATAATGCTTCAGGAAGATGGTCCTGCAAACCATACTCTCTCAGAAAGGCTACTAGTCTGAACCTCACAGCAGTATCTGATAGTGCTTCCCATGTATTTTTCTTCAAAACTTAGCCTAGAGCAGTTTTTTGGAGGTCTCACTTCATATTCCAAGTGACAGGCATTTATATTGTAACCTCTGTCAGTGCAGTCCTCATGGATTTCTTCAGGTGTGGTGAGCTGGAGGGTGGGGTAGACTTGCCTTATTCCACTCACACATACAAAGCTTTTTTATCTGAAGGAGAAGCTGTGTGGGCAGAAGGACATCTCATTAACTTCTGCAAGGACAACCAGCTTGCCTGTGTCCTGGGCAATGGAAAGTGTTTTGGCTTCCTCCGTGTTGAGGGACGTAGTGAACAGAGACAGCATTGCCTCTGCTTTTGTGAAACTGTGGGCAGAAAGTCTACCTGGGACTTAGGCAAACTGCTGGATAGTGTGGTGAAGGGAAAGGTGTTTTCCCCTTTCCTGCTGTTGCCAGCCGTGTGGGCCCCCAGGTGGAGTTGGCTTGCAGGCAGCAGAAACTGGCGCTTCTGCTAGGATGCTCTGCAGAGAAACCGTAGATGGTTTCTATGGCAGAAGCTAAACTCATTGATGCTCACAGATGTCTCTTCAGAGCAGGTTTGAGAAAGCTGACAGGGGACCTTGCTCTTCTGGGCTGTCAGTCTGGCTTGGCTGCACGTAGGAGCACTGGGGAGCTACAAAGCAGAGTGTGGCTCATATGGTAGTTGAAAGTTCAATTAAATTTACCATAAATGTAATGGGGTATGTGGGAATGTTGGATAGACAGCCATACATATGCAGCTTAGCAGATCCTGCATTATTTTCTTGGTTACTCTTTGTATCATATCTGTTCTCAGAGTTCTGTGCTGTGATTAGTGCTATTCACCTCCGTAACTTTTATTCAGGTTTCCTCTTTTGTCTGCAGTAAACACTTGGCAGTGGTATCAGGACTGGGGTGGCCCGAGATAGAGCTGTGTCAAACTGCAGGATGATAAGGCTAATTCTAAAGCACAACAGGAGCTCGTCAAGCCTTGAAGACCATGGCCTAGGAAGCGCTAGCAAACAGAGGGGATGGCCTGTCCTTCCTGGCTGCCAGAGGGGCCAGCTGCTGCCCGGTGGCTGCACGTAGATCAGGGACTTTGGCCCGTGTCGGAGCGACGGCCGTTCCAGCCACCGCGTGCAGACGGTGTGTGGCTGTCCGGGCGCCGACCTTGCCCGCACCACTGTCCCCGGCAGGCGGCGGGAGGCTCTGCGTGAGCAGCGCGAGAGGCTTCCGACACGCCTGTGGGACCTGCACGGTGTTAACGCGGGAGATTTATTACTCCCTGAGGATTCATAAGCAGCACTGACGAATTTCTTGCAATCCACATTTTTGTCGTGGTCGTAATATAAGGTGGGAGGCTTGAAAGGTTTAAATGAGCACCTGTGTTATATTTGTGGGTCACACAGCAACAACAATCCTATTGGTCACTTGCTACAACTTATTTCCGTTAAGCACCTTCCACAAAATCAAAGATCTCTGTCTCCTATATGAAGTAGAGAAGAAAGCTGCTGCCAATAGTAATTTTTTCTTTATCAGCATTGACCGCTTTCTTTCACCCGCTGTAGTCATGGGAAGGCTGTCAATTTTAAAACAAAGAAAAAAGTCACACATATATATATATGTATCCGACCACTGAAGTGCACTGTAAATCTTCAGAAAGATAACCTGGAAGCTGTGTATTTAGCCTTTGCAACAGAAATTGTTTAAATGCCATGTTGGCCTCACACAAAATATACATTCTTTTAGTTAGTGTTCTATTTTGTTCAAAGTTGCTAAACACTGTAAATCCTGTGTAACAGGACAGCAAAGAACTGTGCATTGTAAAACATGTATTCAGACAGATCCTGAGCAAAGAAATCTGCTTGGGTTTTTTTATTTTTATTTTTTATTAGTAGTTCCTATTTTTACAAACCTGTGTGCTTTGAAACAATTTGCATTGTGTCTGTTATTTCAGAATTTACTTCTTAACATCACTGATATCTGAAGAGGAAGTTAAACATGTTAAAACAAATTATGAAGGAATATGAAGAATATGTTGAAACAATTAAACCTCTTAAATGAGGTTCTGGTATTGAATTTTTTTTTTTTTGAAACATAATCTTTTCATCAGATCATATTGGACAAATCTTTCATGCATAACTGGGTTTAAGTCTTCGTGGATATTCCAAGATTTGTGGTGTAACTGTGATTCTTGAATTTCAAAAGGGGTTATTTCTCCAACAACAGATTTTTTTTTTATTTGTAATAATCAATAGAATTAAAAAAAAGAAAGGAAAAATCTTTAATTAAATATATTAGCTGATCTTAGATTTTGAAGATATAGCAAGATTTTTTTAATTTCTGAGGAGGTTAAAACCCCCAGATTTTCAGGTGACCTTCAAGAATACACTTCATTGGAAAAACCCCAAAACTTATTGAATAATATTTGTACTTCAGGCATTTAAAATACATTGGCATGTTCATATTTCATATATTTCCTTGAGGAAAAAAACTAGTCCTGCTGCCTTCAGGATTGAGACAAGCAGGTTAGCAATTTTTTCCACTTTTTTTGTGTGTAATACAGACCACCTGAAATTAATTGTTAGCAATCAAAATAGTAAATTAACAGGTTTAGAGAGGTAAAGAGTTTCAAACAGGAGTAAATAACAGAAGCTGTTTGTATTATTTTTAAGATAGAAGCTCTAAGTAACATGTCCCCTGGACTTCACAAAATAAGTTGACCTCCTTCTTTAATGTTCATACAACAGCAACTGAAAGGATCACATAAATCTGCCAAGTGAAATGTAGTTGTTTCATGCACATTTAATATAGATAAAAAAGGTCTGTTTTATTCTTTACACTGGATGCCACAGAAGTGCATCTGCACATCTAGGGAGAGAACAGTGCGGAGGGGTGACCAAAGGCAGAGGAGGAAGAAAACTTCCCGCAGCCATCCTCCGCAAAACATATGTTGGAGGTTTTAGTCTTCAGATGTTTTATCATGAAGCTTATCAGTCTAATCCCAATGCGTACTCCCAAGTAAGCTGTTGTGTTTGTGGAAGCACCAAGTAAAGGAAAACTCAGTACAATGAAACGCAGAGGAGGCATGTGGTTGCACACTGTGTGTCCAGTTCTGGTGCTAGTTGTTTGGCAATGATTGCTGACATAAAGACGCTGGTTTTCTTCTGAATAAATTTGGCGAGACTTTCTCTGAAGTCCATTATTTCTGGGTTGCAGAAGCACATCTAAGGAAAAGGCTGCTTGGGTTCTGCTCTGGGTACAGAATAGAGGCAGCTGAGGTCTTTCTTTGAGTATCCATCTTGCAAATACTGTTCAGTATGGTGCCTACTACTAGTTGGTGCCTGGTAAACATGTGAATGCCACTGGGACTTAAGCTCCTCAGTGACAGAGTGCTTTTGAAAGGATGACTTACATTCCAAAGTCATTGAATTGCCTTTGAAAATATTTTCTTTCTCGGACGTTTTGTTGAAAAATTTATGGTACTCGCTGCTACACTTGACTCACGGCTACCCTTGGCTGCAAGTGTTTACATGATTGGACCCTGTGTTATCCAGTGTTATCCTTAGGCACCTTTTGGGAAAAGTCTGTAAAGAAAGCAGGTTTTTTGAATATTAAAGGTCGCCTGTTTCTCATGGGGACCCATGCACCTCAGAGGCAGATCTTGGGACTGAGAGAAGATAAACTGTTGGGTTGTAAGAGGGTAGGAAATCACACAGGAAGCTTAAACTTTATATTGTGTTCTTGAAAAGAGCAAACCTATATACTGTAGTGTATTTCAGTAGCTCTTACATAACATCCGTGGTATCATATAGTGTAACTTGTATGCTTGTATAGTTTAGTTGTGTCTGCTCTATATATTTGCGTCTGAAATTTTTGGGGGCTTTCATAAACAAACAGGCCACATAGTGTAAGACAGCAGTAATACTACTTGCAACTGAGGTCAACGCAATTATTTTTCTTTCAAATAAGTCATATTTTCACAAAGAAAACTGTGAAGTAGAATCTCAAGTCATATTCACAAATTTGGTTTCTGATTTTATCTTAATTAGTGCTATTAATAATGAATATTGTCCTAACCCTGATTCAAATTCATTGTGTTCTAAGTTTTTACAACATGTTTAATTTATGTTTTGTTTTTTCTCTCTCTTTCTCTTTCTCCTTATCTCTTTCCCCTTTTCAACAGTCCTGGTACCTGGGCTAGCTTGGTTCCTTTTCCAGTATCAAACAGGTCACCGATCCTGCCGACAAATGTCCCAAATTATGGTTTGAACATAATTGGAGAGCCTTTCCTTCAAGCAGAAACAAGCAACTGAGGGAAAAAAAAAAAAACAAAAGCAAAATTAAAAAAAGAAAAAAAGAAAGGAAGACAGGATGAGAAAAGAAACTGAAGAAAGAAGAAAAGATAGACCAGCAATTGCAGCTCTTACAATCACTAATTCCCTTATGGTTGAAACTGAAGTGACATACAAAGGGTCGATGATATTTCACTGATGGGTAGAATGCAGCCCCTGCTAAGTAGCCTTTGTTATATGAAGTCCGCTGGGAAATAGATGTTCTGTCTCTGACAATATATTTTAACTGACTTTCTAGATGCCTTAATATTTGCATGATAAGCTAGTTTTATTGGTTTAGTATTCTTGTTGTTTACGCATGGGATCACTATTCCTGGTTATCTCACAAAACAAAGGCTAGGCAGCAGCAACAGAGCTGCAGGAGGACAAGGGCCGTGAGTCAGCCATTTTCTCAACACTCTGATTTCTAAATGTGTTAAAAATAAGCTCTGTAGCCTTTAGTTATCAGTATGGATTTATTAAACTTTGGCCCTTAATTCAGCCTTTTCTATTCTAGTGTGTTATGCAGTTTGAAATTTTCAATCAGTATGAACACACAGGCTCTATGGAAGAAATGCCTCTATGTAGGTAAAAGTGTTATCTCCTCATGCAACAGTAAAAAAGAAAAGGAAAAAAGTGAACATTTTCCCCTTTAAAGAAACACTTACAGAGGCAAGTGCAATTTAAAAATCATATCTAAGGGGTCATCACTATAAGTCCTTCAGCCCTTGGACTCTAAATTGAGGGGATTAAAAATAGAAATAAAAATTACTTTGAACATACTTATTTTTCCCCTCAGTTTTTGAGGGCATTAAAAGGCATTAAATCAAGACAAATCATGTCCTTGAGAAAAAGAAATCAATGGAAACACAGCACTTATGTTGGTTTAGCTGCTGCCTCCACAGAGGGGTAGGATTTATTTATTTAAAGTTACTGGTTGCATCAAGAACCCATAGGGTTTATATATTTCTGTAAAATCTGCATCATAGAGACAAAGAGATAGGCAAATCCATGTCACAAGGGCACAGCTTACCGTTTACAAACTGGTAATACCAGGATGGGGATATGTTATATTTAAATAATGCACTCTTAATGTAAGTCTAATTACAGGGTGCTGAAAACTTGCATGGTGCTTTCAGAAGTTAGCCTTGTTCAACAATTTTCACATATTGACAGAAATATAATGTGCATGGGCAGACATTTTGCCTCTATGTCTCTTTAAAAAAAAAATTTAAAATACTCTTTCCAGTAATCCTAATTTGCACGAAGATATAATGTCCACATTACGTGCCTTGCCTTGAAATCTAAAAAATAGAAAAAAAACAAAAAAAAAAAACCACAAAAAAAATGGACATCACTACACTTGTTTTGCTGCATTTATTATCATTTTAAATCTTTACCATTTTTATGACAAAATATTTTCTACTCCAGATGGGAAAAAAAGTGTGACATCATGGATTTTTTAGACAGTTATACCTTTATCTCACATTTATAAAGCATATCATGGCTGTGTATAGTTGCCGCTTAAAAATTGTAATCGACCAGCAATATTTTCAGTATTTTGGTGTTTTTTCTATTAAGCTTTCATGTTTTTCATCTTCCAATTAATATTGGGGGGAGGGGATACAAATTTATACGAATTATGCAATACCAAGTTTTGCCTATGTAGGTAGTGCTTTTAGCTGTATTGGTTATTATAGTTAAGTACACAGATTTAAAAAAAAAAAAAAAAAAAAGAATAATGTATGCTTTTTTTGTTTGTTTTAATTGACCAAAGTGGGTACTGCTATTTTTGCAGTGTGATGAGGTCCTTTTCTGTACTGAGAGGTGGACAGGGGATTTTTTTTTATACATACATATATATATATTCTGGGGTGGGTGGGGAGGATTTTTAACACTTTACAGTGTAGCTGTGAAGCAGTGCACCCTTAGCCAGGCAAGGGCTGCAAAGCGACTGTTCTGCCTACTGTGACAAACTTTCAAATCGGTTCCCTCTTTTTAACTTCCCACCTGGGGTGCAAGCTGAAATCATTTCTGGATTTAAAAAATAAATAATGAATTCTGTTGGAGGCAGACTTGACTTGAGGAAATTGTTTTACTTTAAGGTTTTTTTTCTTGAGAAGAGAAAGAGAGAGAGAGACAGACAGACAGACAGAGAGAGAAAGAGGTCAAGACCCACAGTGAGATGAAGCCTTTTCCATTCTGGCAAAGATACTGCATCCTAAAGTGTTCACGTTAGAAAATGTTTTTAGCTCAGAATGACAAAGACGCTTGCTTTGTCTAAGAAATGCACGTACAGGGCCAAAATGTCTTTGCTGGCATAATTCCACTGACTCCAGAGTTGCTCCTGCAGGGAATTTGTCTCCCTTAGTCCGCTTGACTGGTAAAT